CTGCTTTCTCAACACTTCAAGGCCATTTCGAGTTTTTAAGAATGCCATTTGGACTAAAGAATGCTCCGGCAACTTTTCAAAGACTTATGAACTCAGTTCTTAGTGACTATATTGGCAAAATATGCTTTGTATATTTAGATGATATAATCGTGTTCAGCACGTCACTACAAGAACATATAGACTCACTTTCTAAAATTTTTAAAAAATTGCAAGAAACAAATCTAAAAATTCAACTTAATAAATGTGAATTCTTAAAAAGAGAAACTGAATACCTAGGTCACATAATTACAAGTGAAGGTATAAGGCCAAATCCAAAAAAAATTCAAGCGATTGTTAACTTTCCGATACCTAAGACTCAGAAAGAAATAAAACAGTTTCTTGGTTTAGCAGGATATTATAGAAAATTTATCAAAGACTTTGCTAAAATATCCAAACCTTTTACATCACAGTTAAAAAAAGGAAGTAAAATAAAACCAGAAGATTTTAAAAACTCCTTTGAAAAACTTAAAATATTAATTAGTAAAGATCCTATCTTAATTTATCCAGATTTTGAAAAGAAATTTACCCTAACAACAGATGCATCAGACTTTGCTTTAGGCGCTGTCTTAAGTCAAGACAATAAACCAGTTTGTTTTGCATCTAGAACATTAAACGCTCATGAGATTAATTATTCCACTATAGAAAAGGAATTACTTGCGATCGTCTGGGCTACTAAATATTTCAGACCCTATTTATATGGTCAAAAATTTATCATCAAAACTGATCACAGACCACTTCAATGGTTAAACAATTTAAAAGAACCAAATTGCAAACTAATAAGATGGAAAATAAAACTCTCCGAATATGATTATAAAATTGAATATATTCAAGGGAAAGAAAACTATGTTGCTGATGCTTTATCTCGAATCAAATTAGATCAAGTTTATGCTCAAGAAGAAGATAATGAATCAAATCAGGCAACAATGCATAGTGCAGAAGAAGATAATAGTGAATTATTTGGTATAACTGAATTACCTATTAATATATTTAAAAGACAATATATATTTAAGAAAACCCCTAATGTAGGTGTCAAATTTATAAAACTATATAAAAATAAAGGAAGATATGAGTTTAGATCAGAGACTTTCACAGAAGATTATTTTAAGGAAATAATAAAGAAATATTTTAATAAGCAAAAAGGAGCAGTACTATTTGAAGACATAAGAGATTATCACTTATTTCAAACAACCTATATTAAATTAATTAATCCAATATTAAGAGCTAAAATTTACAAAGCCAATATATTACTGAAAGATATTGAAACTTATAACGAAATTAAAGAATTAATACTAAAAAACCATTATGAAACAAACCATAAGGGTATTGATCAAACATATTCACAATTAAAAAGAGAATATTATTATCCTAATTTAAAAACAGAAATAAATAAAATAATAAATAATTGTAACATTTGTTCTATTGCTAAACATGATAGAAATCCCATTAAACATGAATATAATGTCACTCCTGAAATTAAAACTATAAGAGATTTATATATGATTGACATTTGGTGTTTTGATAATAAACGATATTTAACTTGCATTGATGTATATTCAAAGTATGTACAAATTTGTGAAACGAATGGCTCGGACTGGCTAGAAGCTAAAAAAGCCATGATAAGTATATTTAATAATATGGGAAAACCAAAACGAATTAAACCAGATAGAGATAGTTGTTTCGAATCATTTTCATTTAAAAATTGGATCATAAGTGAAGGAATACAATTTATAGAAACTCATTCAAAGACAGGTATAGCAGATTTGGAACGATTACACGGCACACTAAATGAAAACTTGCGAATAATTAGAACTAAGAATGATATAGAAGAATTATATCACCAAGTTGAAAGCACTTTGTACTACTACAATCATAAAACAATACACTCCACAACCAAAGAGATTCCATATCAAGTATTTTTTGAAGGAAAATTAATTAAAACAAATGTTCAAGGAAATAAAATTAAAATAATCAAGAAACGTAATAACTCACGTCTAAATAAAGATATCAATCCCAAATACTTAAAAGTAAATAATAAAATAAAAAGCTCTAATCCACATAAATTGTTTAAAGGCATTGTATTAGAAAACAAAGATAATTATATAACCACGAAAGATAAAAATAATAAAATTATAAAAAGATATAAAACTAATTTTGTGAGGAAAAAGAAATACACATAATTAATTTAAATTATTTTTAGTCTTCACCATAATAAATATTATACCTTTCGCAACAACACAATATTTGGATATAACAAACATAAATGAAGGAAATGGATTTACTTTAATCAGAGGATCAGAAGAAACTATAATAGAGAAATATGATGAAAGAATACACGCAATAAATACAACACAGTACAACGAAGGATATGAAATATTAGCCAATTTATACCATGAAAATATGGTATTACAAATACCTAAATTAACTATAAAACTTTTTAAATTAGAAAGAGAACTCTTAGTAATAAAACTCAGACCAAAAAGAGGACTCATTAATTTAATAGGAAAAGGACTCAAGTTTATTACAGGAAACATGGATAGTGACGATGAAGAAAGAATAAATCACAAACTATTAGAACTAGAAAAGAATACAAAACAACTTATTAAAACTAGAAACGACGATACAGAAATAGTTAAAACCATTGACAGCGAAATTAGACATATAATAGACCATATTACACAACAAGATAGAATAATACTAAGATTACAGACTCTCGAAACACCAGACTTTAATCAAACACTCATACAGAATTTTGAAGAAAACCTTGACCTACTACACAATCATATCAGAGATTTAAAACATTCAATTACGTTAAGTAGGTTAGGAATATTAAACCCAGACCTGCTATCAGAAGAAGAAGATAAAGATTTTACCATCGATACTTACAGACATATTAAAACCACTCTCTGGAAGAGTAATGAAATGCTTTATTTTGTTTTATCAATACCAAGCTTTTACAATAAATCTTTTTATAAAATGTATATAGAACCTATACCAAACTATAAAGAATTTAAACAAATTGTACTACAAAACAAAGAAAATTTAATTACCGATAATAAGAATATTTATGTACAAAGAAATCAAAAATTGTATGAAGTTGAAGACATTTGTTTAAAAAATATATTAGGAAATTCACTAATGGAAAATTGTAGTTTTGAAGAAAATAGAAAAGAAGAAATAAAAAGTATAAATAATAATATAATTATTGGAAAAAATTTAAAACAGCAAATAATTAATAATAATTGTAATAATATTTCCTTATCAGTTAAAAGAAACATAATTATTAAATATCAAAATTGTAAGATAATTATTAATAATATTACATTTACTAACGAAAATAAAATTTATTCTGAACATTTTATTTTACCTATTCAAGAAAAGAATATTACAGAAAAAGAATATATTAATTTCAATAAATTACACTATAAAACTTTAAATTTATCAAATAAGCTAAAATATATAGAGGAAAAGACTATTAAGCAAAATTATATTAATGTATCAATTATTGTAATTGTACTTACTGTAATTATTATTTTTATTATTGTAACATATTGGACCACACATAAAACTAAAAATATTGTCATTAGCGAGGACGCTAATCTTAAGGAGGGAAGAGTTACATATGCATCCACTCAAACACATAATAAATACAAATATAATATAATGGGTAATAAAGTTAACCCAGTATAAAATATACATTTTATTATTTTTACTGTTCGTGACAATTTCATATAATTTTATGATTCACAATATTGAACGATTTCAATATTGTTCGTGACAATTCCTAATTGGACAATTCGTCACACATTTCTAAATAGTAAATGGTACCATTGTTTAATAAACTAATAGATGTTTATTAATTATGCGTATTCAAGTTATAACAATGCATCTCTTTAACATCAAAGATCGATCATTAAACACGCACCTAATTATATTAGAAATTCTTCTATGATGATGCATCCAAGTAATATTGGTATAAAGTCACGTTCACCTAATTATCGATCCTAACATAAAATATGTTTTACGACACACTTTACAAGCATCGATCCTATTGGGTAATTACACAGATGCTTGGTTTATGATAGAATATTATTCTATCATTCATCCCATATAAAAACTGAATGCACCACTCAGAGGCAGTCAGTACAATTTCGACCATGTCTTCGCCATTATATTAAATTTCAAATCTCGTCCTCGTTAATAAAATAAATATCTTATTCGTGTGTGATTTTCTTTTATAAAAATAAATAAAATCTTAACTTTGTAAATGTTTAGTGAATGTTTAAATAAATAATAAAAATATATAAAAAGTGTCATTCGTGTTTTATTTTAAAAATATATTTATATAACATAAATATATAATTCATGCACTGAAGTAAATTTTGCTATTATTTTTCTTGAATATATAACTTTGAATATATAAGCACATATATTTTTTATAGTGTGGTAAAAGTTTTGTTAGTAAAGAAGAACTCAAGATACATATGAGGCGACATACTGGTGAGAAACCTTACTCATGTACGAAAGTCAGTTTTTCAATTACCTTTATTTAGTATTGTATAAAAATTAGATTTATGTTTTTTAGTGTAATAAAAAATTTGTTGCTAAGATAGGACTTAATCTTCACATGAAACGACATATTGGTGAAAAGCCACACGTTTGCCTTGAATGTGGAAAACGTTTTATGCTCGCCTTTGAGCTACGTTATCACAGTAAAACTCATTTACGACTATTTGCTTGCGATGAGTGTGACGAAAAATTCAAAACAAATAAAAAGTAACTCTATTTATATTAAAAAATTAAATTTATTAAAGGATTATTTTTACAGACTTTTAAAACATATCAGAATTCATTCATCTGTAAGAAAGCGGGAAAACAAAGCCCAGAAGCATAAATTCAAATTCATGGAATGCAATGTGGCAGAGGAAGAACTTAAAAATCATTACGACAGGGGAGATCATATAAGTGAGATCTTTGTAAAAATATAATATATAAGTATTTTGAGAAGCAATTATTAATTCTTTGTTTAAAAATTGCGTTGCTACTGTGACTTTTAATACGTATAACCTTACATGACAATTTATCTTTTGAATGGGTTGCTTACTACGGGGATCTATGTTTCAAAAGAAAACTATTTTATTTTGAAACTATATTTAGCTTGACACTACAACAAAGAATTTTCTTTTGTGTTTTTAGGCTTTAATGAACATAATATCTAAAAATTAAAACAGTCGTGTAATATCAAGACATTTTTTGATGTTTTCAAGGGTTTTCTTAAGGGTAGATTATAATAATAATATTATTTTCCAAATATTTTGTAAACTTAAACCTAAAAACACTAAAGAACATTAGGCTTTAAATGAAAGTGATTTATTTATTTATATATTTTTATATATTGTTTTTAAAATCAAGCATTAATCTTGTGAAATTTTGTATTTATATTATATTATATTATATATTATATTATATTATATTATATTATATTATATTATATTATATTATATTATATTATATTATATTATATTATATTATA